TATTTAAAGCACATGTACTAGTAAATACAATAATGTGAACAAATTGGCGCTAATATAAATATTAACGACATGACAGGCAAGTCAAAAAAATTATATTTTTGTAATTTTAGAAGAAACAAAGGAATAGAGCAAAATGGCGTTTATGTCATCTTATAGAGTAAATTTAGCACTATCTCTACCAAAAGCTTAAAGCAAAAATTAGGAGCCTTTTTGAGAAAATCTTGTTTTTGTATTTTAAACAAATGCACAAATCTCACACAATTTTGTGCGAAAACTACTAAAATTTTCGAAAAATGTACAGGATCTTAATATAAGAACTCACTATGGAAAACAAATTCTATTTGAAGGAAAAACATCTTCAATTTTGTAGTTGTAGGAAGACACCGAAAAAAATTCATACGTTTGAAATTTTCGTAAATTCAGTGTTAACCGTGATAATAGGATCTATTCCATGTTTATATGTGTATGTTACACTATTCTTATAAGAAATTTAAAGAAACAATTTCGAGCCGCTTTTGAGAAAATTTTGAAAATGTCCGGGGATTTCACGTAAAGTACACCCAAATTTTAAAGTTTTTTTCTCAGAATCTCAAAGATTCAACTTGAGCCAGATCGACACGAGTTTGTTTTTTTTTTCAATTTGGTTAAAATCTTTCTTTTTCTTTTGTTCCCTCCACAGTAACCCTGTGAAGAAAGGGAATTTATTATCTATGAATGTTTTTATATTATGCTGCTGCCTTGCGGCTTAAGCAGCTACAGGCTTTTTCTCACAACTAACTTACAATCTAAACCTAAAGTTATCTTAATTGCACTTTGGCATTACTAACTACACTAAAATCATTTTTGTAATTCTATTTTAAATTGGTTAAAAATCCTATGAAGTGGTTTAGACGCTAGTAGTGTTACAGCCTAGAGCTCTGCATTCGGGCGAAAACAACCGCTCGGGGCTGCGAGACTCTTTTTTTCTTTTGTCCCCTCCACAGTATCCCTGTGGAGAAGGGGAATTTATTTCTCAATTAATTTTTAATACGCGCTGCCTTGCGGCTTAAGCAGCTAAAGGCGGGGCTTTTTCTTACAACTAACTTACACTAGACCAAAGTTATCTTAATTGCACTTTGGCATTACTAACTTACACTAAAATCATTTTCTAGTTCTATTTTATATATTCTACGTAATTATTATTTTATATATAGTTGGTAAATTGTTTTTTTTTCACATTCACACATCATTCATACTAGTTATCATTATATACATAACCATTCATTCTTCTTCCCATTCATTCGCGCTTCACTATTCACTACACTGTTCGCCACGGCACTGACTTGACTCAAAGTGGCCGCGAGACTCCGCGCCTACGCTCGGGGGCGAAGGAGGTAGCCGATACTTCGAGCGTCGCCTGTGCGCTCGAGCGCAACTCGGTAGCTCCGCCAACAATACAAAATATAAATTACGTACAATATATAAAATAGAACTACATAAATGATTTTAGTGTAAGTTAGTAATGCCAAAGTGCTTTAGGTCTAGGTTGTAAGTTAGTTGTAAGAAAAAGCCCCGCCTGTAGCTGCTTAAGCCGCAAGGCAGCAGCATAATATAAAAACATTCATAGACAATAAATTCCCCTTCTTCACAGGGTTACTGTGGAGGGGACAAAAGAAAAAGTAGCTCCGCCGCTCGACTTATGCACGGGATTTTAAGTCCCCGTGCATAGTAATCGCGAAACTCATTCAATTAATTGTAATTAATTAATTAATTAATTATAATCGAAAGAGAATACGATTTCAATTAAACGATTAATTGTGAGAAAAGTAAAAAAAATATAGATTAATTGGAAATAATTTTAGAGACAAAACAATACAATTTTTGAAAGAATTAAAGTCAAAGAAAGAGTCTGAAAGAATGAATCATTAACTTTTTAGCTACATCAATACAAAGGAATAAAAAAATAATTCATTCTATTTACATTGAGTTATTTAACAATGTTGAAAAACATGGTTATTAATTGGAATCTCTAATAATGTAAATATGGACCTGCAGTATATTTTCAAAAAGCAAAGAAAATACTATATGAGGCAAAATGTTTATATTCTGTAATTATATATAAAAGCACAAAAATATTAGTTAAGTGAAAATACTTCGTTTCGGACCAGTTGTAATGTCATTTGGGTTTCTTACAAATCTGAATATAAGGCATATTAATTGTGTTCACGCACGCACGTGACTTAAAACCGCCCGCGCCACCCCCTCCCCTCTCTGCCCGGTCGCCGGGACCCGCCACCTATTCTTCCCGGCGTATGCCCTTTCTCTTTCGCCATTGGCATTTCTCTTTAAGGCCATTATCCGCAAATCCGTCTCTTTGACACCGCACCGACGGCCTTTGCCATCCTCTTAATTCTTCCCACGCCGCCAAGGCAGCGGGCGTACGTCAATCAGCAGGGCTCTTCGCCGACCCTCCGGCGACGACGAACGAAGGAGCGGAGCAGGTAGAACGCTGCGGCCGTGGCGCAGTGGGAAGGCTCCCATTTAAAACTATATTCTGCTAGCGGTGGCGGGTACCCCCTCCTCCGTTTCGCGTAGCGAGAGCCCGCCACCGCTTGCCGCAGCAGCGGACGCCCGCTGCACGTGGGTAGGGCGCGACGCCGCGTCCTTCAAACTACTTGTCGACATGTGCGGTTAATGACCCCCGTTTGCACCTTCCGCGAATTGCGACCACCCCCAGCCAGCGGCTCGGCCCCAACGCACCGCCTGCGCGGATTCTTTCAAGCACTTGTTCGGGAAGTGCGGCTTACCGCGGCTCATTTGCGCATTCCGCGAAGTGCAGCTATCCCTAGCCAGCGGCTCGGCCGTAAGTGCACCGCGCGGCCCCGTCCGTGTAGTTTTAGATTTATAATTATTTTGGTTTTCATGTCTTCTCTTAAATTGTAAGTTTTTATTGATTAAATTGTAAGTTTTTATTGATCCAAGAGGCACTATTAATTAAATTAATATTTAGCTATCCGCGTTGTCATTCATTTCGGCCGATCCTTCATTTCCTCGTATGAGGTTGTCCTCCATCCATTTATTTTAGTAGCCTTCTGGCTAAATTGCATGAGCTACTGGAGGGCGATATGTGTCTGTGCTGTGCGCGCCTATAGCCAACACTACAGTCCACGCTGTTGGCTTATCGTGCGTGGCGCCGTGTGAGAGGTGGGTACCAGGTGAGTACCGCGTCTGCACGCGCTCGCATGATACGGACGCGCGTGCGCACACATATTGATTGATTGGTTGATCAAAAGAACGTCAACTACCAACCTGCTACTAATATTGCACTTGTATCTAAATTTAGCAGAACATTTGTATTTACATTTTAAAAATGAGGGAAAATTAATTATTTTATAACATTCTTGGGCAATAGAAATATGCCTAATATTCTGAATTAGTATTAGCCTAGAAATGACAAAAATAAATGTTCTAATTGCCTTCAATTCATAATTGCCATACGAAAGTTTTAAAATGTAAGTCTTTGAATATAGAGTCTTCCTTCCCTTCCATTACTTTTCCTGGACGGTGAGATATCAATGTCGGAAGTCGGGGTTATCGACTTGCCCTCTAGGAAGCGAGTGATATGTTGACATCGCGAATCTGATCCACCGCTCGCCCATGAGCCACCCCTCACATACTGTCTGCCTCTCCCGCTTCTTTGCCTTGAGTGAAGAAGCGAGAAAAAAGCTTGCTCTTGATCTCTAAAAATATAGAATATGAAATTGAAACACTAATAATATCCTCTGACAAAACTAGAGTAAAATAGAGATTTGATGCCTATCGAGTAGGATTAAAAAAGTCAAAATAACTTAATTACAAATTGTTTATCCAAACGAGAAGAAATTTGGAATAAATTTCAAGAAAAAACTTGGAAAATTAAATATGCTTAAAATACATTTACGTGAAAATAAGCAAAATAAATATTTTTCAAAATTGTTAATTTTTCATAATTCTTTCCTTTTTATCATAAATATTTACAGATGTTCATTAGAATAAAACACACAATTTCCTTAATATCCCATATCTAGTCATTACAAAGAACCGAATTTATACCGAAAACGTGAATACCCTTTCTTTGAAATCACAAGTAGAATTCAGCAGATCCATTTCAGATTCTCCAGTGCGTCGGGGAGTTGAATTTTGGAATTATATATAAAATTATTTACATTTCGATTATTAATTATATATATATATATATATATATATATATATAGTATAATATATATATGTTTCAATATGGCGGTCAGTATTGCGCGCGGAGTTCGCCAGAAACGGGCAGGGAAAAAAGCCCCGCCTCAGCTGCTTAAGCCGCAAGACAGCAGTAAATATATAAAAATTTAAAGAGAATAAACTTCCGCTTCTTCGAGGGTACTGCTGGAGGGAGAAAGAAAAAAAAAAGGTCCGGCGTTAACGACAACCGACGGAACTGCCTCGGCGGTGTCGGCGGCCACGGCGACTCGGGAAGCCCGCCTCCCGGCTGCCAAGGACGCACGACCCGTGGTCCCGAGAGAATAGGGCAAGCGAATGCTGTCGCCGTTAATCGCGGAAAATGCAGACCTCTATCACAACACTGGACCGGGATCGCGGACCGACGGGCCGACGGTATTCGTATATTACGTACGCGCACGGGAAAGTTAAAAAATAGAGCGTACCGTGATGGTCTCTTGCTTGTGAACATACTAATACAAAGTTGAACTGTCCCCAGAATGCCTTTTGCGAGTTAAGCGCTCATAACTCTGCGAGACTGGTATAGTCATGCTTGGGAAGATAATCCAGGCGCCGTTTTTTCTGCCAAGTTGACTTGTTCGTTTTCACCGGCAGATTGTGTGTAGTTTTGCCACTGCAAGGGTTTTACGCCAAGGGCCACTTCCACCAACCGCGCACGGATCGCGATGGCACTAGCGCCCTGCCCTCCCACCGCGGACCCTGGCTGTCGCGTACCGCCGCCGCCGGCCGTTTCTGGAGGGGAGGAGGCGGGCTGACGAAGCGACCTTCGGAAGGCTGCGCAGGGCGAGAGCAAACGGTGGGAGGGTTCGCTGCTGTCCGGTGGCGGCCGGTAGTGACGATGGCGGACGCCGCAGTTGCGTTCGGATTGTCGTCTGTGACTGAAGTGGCAGCGGGTCTTTATTTCACTACCAAAGTCTGCGCGCTCTTACGCGCTTGTTCACCAGCTGCCTTGCTTGCTCATCGATGTTGAAGTTCATCTGCGATAACAGCTACGGTAAGTTCGCCATGCAGTCAGTACGCATTATTAATTAGCGGATTTATCTCCTTGTTTGAGATGTTATGTATTTAGTGTCGGATGCCTGGGAGGAGTTGAGTGCGTGAAACTATACCAGTTGTTCATAATTCCCGTGAAATTAACGAATTGAAACTGATGAAGAACCTTCGTTTCAAGTTTCACCAAAATCCCGTGTTGGCGGTGAATCATTGTTGAAGAGCGACGTTTTCGTGGTCTTCCTAAGTACTTATGTATTCCAAATAATTCTCATTTGCATCTGATGTATCAGTGTAGTTCGATTTGTTTTAGCATGGCAAAAAATTATGAAAGGTAACTGTTGACAGTACTAAATCATAAATTTTCTGGGCATCCAAATTTATAGGTGATAATAACGCTCGGAATCTGTTGGCCAGTATCTCAAAGGAATTCTCTGCCTCTCCTGGCAGTGGATAAATGGTAGTTAAAGTGAATTTTGTCTGCTTCCAAATTTATCGTAGGAAATGGGTTTCATTAAACGCTGAGACTGTGTAATGTTGTGCAAAAAAAGTGGATAGATCCAGATGCTAAATTTAGGGGGGGGGGTCCTCTTTCACGTAGTGTAGTCAGAATTCGTTTTGTAAACCGAAAAATCGAATGACGACAAAACGTCCATCTGTCCGTCCTTCCAACCTTCCAACCGTGTCTGTCCGTCCGTCTCTGAACTGCGCTAACGGCTAAACTGTTCAGCCTATTTTCTCCAAAATTCATGTTCCACAATTGATCTGGCTGATGTGACCACTTGAATTTGAAATCGATATTTTAATTTTGGGGCGTAATTAACATGAAGCCCTTGGAACATTTTAGAAATTAAAAAAACGAAAATATTGTTTCATTGTTTTTAATTATATTTTGTTGTTGGATAGTGTGAAGAGCGTTTGGGAGAATGGCTTGGTTCGAAAATTGCAACAGTTAAAAATAAATTACACGTCTTCCTACTACTACGAAATATATTAACGATAGAGATTTTTTCCCATAATGAAATCTATTCATTAGACTTATTTTAAAGTAATGTTTTTTTTTTTTGTTATTTAAGGTCGCATCAACTACTAGGTCATTAGCGACCACTATTGCTTGTAACGGTATCGTAACTGTGGGTTGACACGATAATGATGATGATAGGGGGTGAAAGAACGAAACACAATACAACCATGCCCGAGGCGGGACTCGAACCCGCGATCCTTCGGTCCGAGTTCGCTATGGCACTACTGCCTTAGCGATCTCGGCCACCGGATCGGCTAAAGTAATGTTATGTACAATTTTACGAAAACTTGATTAATTTTTGCGCAATGTTGAATGAAAATACGGGCGACATAATAATTGCTGTTTTAGCATCATTAGTTTTTTTTCTATTCAGGTCACCCCATCAAGTATTTTTTGGCTTGTAAAATGCACAATGAGCTGTGATTTAATGTAACCTCTCTAGTGGATTGACAGATTAAACACTAAAGATCAATTCACTTGATACGTCCCATTTTTATACGTAAGTTACTATTTTTAGCAAATTTATGAGGACATAGGTTGTAAAAACTGTTGGTAACATGATTTGAGTTTTATTAATGTATCTACTGACATTGAAAAACTAACTTCAATACACTTAATAATTTTCTAAAGTGGTGATAACAAAAATGAATTAGAGGAGAACAATGTTCTGGTGCTGGAGCTAATTGATTGATGGTGAATCTGGATGCGTCAACCAAGATCATTAGTCCGGTAAATGTAGTGCATTCTCTGCTCTGGTGGCGTTTATTTCCCCCGCTGGATGGCGAGATCGGGCGCCGACCTGCCGCTGGCTAGCGGTGTTTTCCCCACCCAGGTGTCTTCCGCTATCGAATCACCACCCCAGAATGGACAAGCTCGAAACTGACCGGTCTCCTTTAATGTGTGGTAGTGTAGTGTAGTGTGTAAGTGTGTGTAAGTAAGGGGTGAGGACAGGACAGGAAAGAGAAAAGAAAGATCGCGCGCGGACCGAGGCCCGTTTGTTAAGATAATGTTTATGCATTCAGATGGAGTTGATCGGAGAAATTACGGAAAACTACTGATCAGAGCAGCTCTTCGCTAGAATTCTCATCCAGACAGGGACTGAATCTGACCTACCTGACAAGCTAGTGTCGAAAACCCTGCCTTCTTCGGAACTCGAACCTACTAACCTCCCGGTCAGAGGCACTGCAGTGACATTAGTTGATACTCTGAGCCAATTCTCCCGGTGTTGAGCTGTAACGCTTGAAGCCGTCTAAAAAGTGCTCTGTAAGACCTGTTACGTTTGGTTTTGGTATTTCACTTTTTACTTGACCTGCATGAAACCACAGCCTGTCCTCTGCATCCGGCTACTTCCACGTTTTACTACACTATGACATGCATGTAACTTCACACTCCTTCATGGGGGAAAGATGTGGGTGAGTTACTCGCGCGCTCAGAATTTTGCTCGTTCTGTGCAGCACCAGTTTGCGTCGCGAACCACGTGACCACAGCACGGGCACTTCGTTTGAATACCCAGACCAGACGCTGGCCGCCATGTTGCATGGAGAGTGAGAAGTATTGAGAACCTTTTGAACGTGACATAGTGACAGTTTTCAACCGTAACAAACCAAAAATAATACTATAAAGCTGGATAAGATGCAATATTTAAAAGAAATGCTTAATATATGTTTCAATGACTCGTAACAGTGATAATTTTGGTAACTGTTTGCATTTAAAATTCCCGCTAACATTGTGAGGTAACTGGTGCCTGAAGCACATCGACTCATTGCGCAAGAGTCCCCCTTTCTCTTCACCTTCAAGCTGCAACCCCCACTTCTTTGAAATTTAAAATCAACTAGCCTATAATTTTGTCCTAATTAAGTACTAATTTTTTGCCACAATTAAAAATTTCGTACTCAACAATATTATTATACAATATTATAATATATATAATATTACTGTTATAATATTATAATAAATATTATATTAATAAACTATAAAAGACAACATCCTAAAGTGGGGGTGCTAGCTTGACGTCAAGAGGGCACCCCTTCTCATAAATTCAAAGTCAACTAGCCTAAAAATATCTACTAATTATTTACTAATATTGTACCAAAATAAAATCAAATTTGTACTGAACTATAAACAATTAAAAAACTTGTGCCAATGAATCACTTTGCAAGTGCATTTGACGATTTTAAGTCAAATTTCAACTTTGAAATTAATCTTTCATATTAACATCATAGTGAATTTTTACACATAATATTTTCAAAATTTTATCTAGTCCCTCAACTGATATATTACAGTCTACAAACACGAAAACTTGCGAGTGGTTAAAAACAGAAGTGTCCGCCATTGCCCTCCCCCTTCGCAGAAATTCATCTAGTCTGTATTTTTCTACTATATACGTACTTATTCTACAACAAAATAAATAATGTACTCAATTAAAAACAATTAAAACAACGAGTGCCAATGAAGCGCTTTTCATGCAAATATTCCGATTTTTTAAAACACATTTTCAGTCAAATTTGAAAGTTGAAATTCATAAAAAAGTTTAACATTAGTGCACGTTTACATATAATAATTTCAAAATTTTATCTAGTCTCTCAACTGAGATATTACAGTCACACATCGGGCTTCGTAAAGAAAATAAAAAATCAGATGGTTCATCTTCTAATACAATTTTTTTAGACACCATGGTAATAAATACAGGCAAAGATGGGGACGTCTGTCAGTTTCCAGTCGGGCAAGTGCTATCTGAACGTCATACTTCCGTTGCCATATTCAGTTGGCTAACGGAATTTTCACGTTTAAGTCCATCTCAACTTTCCCGCAATGAAATTGTGTGCGGTTCATCCAGAGCTCTTCTATTAGGTAGGTAAGATTTTATAACTTAAATTGCTATTTAAAGCTAATTTTCCTGGCAACAGATTTCAATGTTATTAATTTTTAAATAGGTGTTGTATGGAATTATACTAACTGCAAGACACCAGAAGAGTACTCAGACAGATGCCTAACAGGTCCTTTACCGCTGTTAGGTGAAGATCGATGTGGCACACATAATGAAAATATATGCCGATTTTCTTAAAGGACAACACCTAGGCATGTAAAATTTATATGTAGGAGCCATAGGCGAATTGATAGTTTCTCAAAGTTTGGAGGAAGCTAAACAGTTATTCCTGATTTCAACGATTTCTCGTCATATGTACCATGGGAAAAATCCAATGGTCAATTAACTGAATGTTCCAAAGCAAAAGAAAAGCTCAAAAATCTTCTGATTAAAAAAGATGAAGTTTTTCACACAAGAAACAATAACATTGATTCAGTTTTAGAAGAAATTAACAATGGAATTTCAATGGAATACAAGGTAAAAATGTTAAGAAATATATGTGATAATTTAATACAAACAAATTAAACCTATTTATATACGTATTTGTTTCTATTCTAGATAGTATTTGTGATGGGCCTGAAACATCAAATGTACTGTCTACGTGGTTGCACGGGGCAAAAGACATTGATCGACAAGTGTAAGAAATGTGTTAAGAAAGAGGTGATGATATCAATGCCCATAAGAACAATTAATTTGCAAACAAGTTAATTGATCATTTTTAATTGACCATTCCAATGTGGACATGCGTCATACGAAACAAATTTGATTTCGGACGTATCCCTGCAGCTGAAAAATCTGATTTTAACGATTTGAAAAATCGTGCTTTCAAGGGAAAATTACCCTTGAGAGTACACGATTTTGTTCTGGAACACTTAAAATATAACACAAAGTAAACAAAATCGTTCTTGCTAGAGGGGCAACAAGTGGACTTCGAACACAAGAAGATAATGCTAATGAAGATATTTTGGATGTTCACGAAAGTGATGATCAGGAAAGTAATTTTGAGGTAAATATTTTACATTTTATGAAAGAAGTAACATGTCGAAAATTATAATTGTTACGAATATCGTATCGCAATTCTTTTCTAACAATTTTTTCGTTAACTTTTTGATACCACCAATTTGAATCTATTATTCGAAGAGCTCAGAAATATTTATAGTATCTTATGTCCTAATTGTGTGTATTAATTATTTACTGCATCTATCATTCAGGTTGCTGAAGACGTGATATCTTCCATGCTTTGTAAAAACAATCCACAAGAAGGAGCTCACAGATGTAAAGACTATGGCAAAGTCCTCCATGTTTTACCTGAGTGTTCCATTGCTTTAGAAGATGAAGAAGGAGGTTATGGACAAAAAAGGTTGTCAAATGTGTAAGAAGGAGTGAGATAACTCAATCATTCCTGTTCTCTACAATGAAATAGAAAATTGGAAAGGTTTAGGAGAACAAAAGAAGGCTAGAAACAAAAATAAATATATTAATGCATTATTTACTCCTTAAGATTTAAATTTACATACAAAATTGAAAAAGTTTCCCCTCTTAAATGGAAATGTGTTAAAACTGAAGGCAGTGAACATTTATGCCAAAAATCGCACAGTCGTAAATACATGCAGTTCGGATTCCATATTTCAATCTTTGTTACTGGTACAACTAGACAATCCGTTTCTAGATGATTTAGATGCAATTTCAGAATTTTTTTTTCATGGTGATGAGCGTGTCAAAGAACGCAATAACAACAAAAACGTATCGCAATCGATCAATTCTTTTGTATGCATGTAAATCGGTCAATTATTAGTCGATGATTCACAAGATTTAATTTTTCTATTAGTCCCACAAGTTGGTAGTGAATCAATTGCAATATTGTTCTCCATTGTATTGAAAACAGACATATTTTAATTTTTTTAAAAATAAATATTATTTTTAATGTCGTTTCAACCCTATTCGGCATCTTTTCTAAAGATCTCGGGTTCACGTTTGTTAAAAAGCCTTCGTAAGAATAAGGTAGCATTTTATATAGAAATGTTCGATATTATTGAAAACGTAGATTATGAATGTGAACTCATAACATCTGGTCAACTGTTAAATGATGAACTGATGTTGGCCAAATGATAATTAGATCACATTCATAGACCAGTGTTTTTATAAAATCGCCAAAATTTTACAAAATGCTATCTGATTTTTGCCAAGCTTTTTAAACAAATGTGGACCCGAGATTTTTTTTAAAAAGACCCCATTTTGGTTCAAAACTTCAAATATAAAAATTATTGCAAAGAAATAATGCAGTGTCTTTTTCAATAAAATATATTTTACCATTATTAAATTAGATAACTGATAGGTTCTTTAAAATTGGCTGTGATTCAATCTGAATTGGAATTGTTTTGATTGTAATAATTAGGTATTCCAGAATTATTTTATTTGTATACTTTTTCATCACATTATTGTGGAATGCAAGGTGGTTTGACTCATCAGGGAGAGAATATTTTGCTGCACTATCCTCTGTTTCTTTACTCAGGATTTTGAAATGAAAAGGGATCCACACTTCTCAAATTTTTTCCAGATAAAATAATCTGAGATTTCGTTGTAATGTCGACCTCATAATTTTTTGTATGAATGCGATGTCGTTTCTCGAATAAGTAAAATAGTGCGAGTTGCTTGATTTTACGATGTCAGTTAGGATGGATCCAAAACTTCACTGTAGAAAATTGGAGATATATCAGGTAGTTTATAAAAGTTTTGTCCGGAAGTAAAACTGCACACCCAGTTTCGTGCGGGAAGTTTTGGCAATCTTATATATGTGAATACTGTCTTCATATTCAATACGTTTTTCATAGAAAAGTGCTGAGTACATTATGAGATTGTCATTTTCTTATCATATTCGTTTAATGATGAGCCTTATTTGCGATATTTTCAGGATTTCTAAAGCTTCAGAAAATTATTTATACTGATAAAATGTCAGCATAATGGCTGTTAGTATACTATGGAGAATGATGAATTTGGAGTCTGAGGTTGAGCGCAGATGTGCGCACGAAGGTAGGGTAGAGGGTCTCAGCCTCCCTCAAATTTTAAGAGGACCAGTAGCCCTATGTAATAAAACAGGTTCCTCGTAAATATGCTCAATTACTTTTTTCCTCTTTTTCACTGATATTCGAAATTTCCAATCCGACAACCCTTTAAACGGTTCATTTGTTCATTATATTGATAAATTAACGTCATTTCCTTTGGAGCGTTTTAATTCATAAAAAAATGTCATAGATATAAATAATGGAAAAGATGACCCAGGGGGGAACAAAAGTTGGCCCCCTGTTGTTATAGACTGAGCACTCCTATTATCTTGGCATTATGGTCAGTGCGGAATTCATTACAGAATATGTTATTAAAGATGATTTTGGTCGTTAAATTATTAGAATTTCCACTACTTTAAAGACATATGAAATATATTTTTCTCTTCTGTAGGTTAGTCGTTCTTCTCAAAATACGGCCAGTTTATTTGTAATTGAGCGTGTACGAAATACACCACTGGCCAATCTCAGAGGCTGTTTTGAATTAGATTTAATTTATCCAGTATGATGTCTTTTTCAGACATATACACACAAGCTATAGTCTATTTTTGACCTCACGACTGTACGATATGTATTTCGTATTATATAATCGTTAACATTTTCATCGAATTTTGTAAATATTTATAAAAGTGTCAATGGTGTAATATCCTAGAGATGTTGTGTCCAGGTATGTCAATAAAAACCATAATTAATTATAATATATTATAGTAATAAATGAAGCATTTGAAAATATGTAATGCTGTTTCTTCCGAAGCCCTGTCTTTCTATTCCATTACCCTTTCAACATCTTATACCTACTATTTATTATTCTTACAGGAAGAAAGTATCCTTTCAATAACTTGTCTTAAAAAAGTTGCAAAGAGGTTGTATTTCCGTCAATAACAGGAGATCAATATTTATAGAATTTTTTATAGAGATTATTATTAAAAATCTCTGAGCTAGTACTAAGGAAAGAAACTTTTTCTAGATATTTGGATTACCAATATTTTTTACATAATTATCTAAAAAAATAATAAATTATTTATTGTATGGGTTACATTCGACTTCAAATATTGTACTTCAATTAAATGATAAATATAATGAATTGTCAATATGTTTTCTTCAGACAAGAAATGTTTGCCTATGCGCTGAAGACTGATTTAAACATTGTGACTTATGTGATTTTAACATCCCTGCAAACATTTCAAACTGCCTGAGTGACTGGCTTAGATACAATTTTAGTAGAAGAGTAATTTACAAGTAATAAAGTTGTATAAACGTGAAGGACAGGTTGATACAAATAATAATAATAATTATTATTAATAATAATGATAATATAATAATAATAATAAATCGTATATGGTATGGGGAAGTAATAATTGAAGTACATAAATCCAAATGCCCAGCTTGTGTACATCCTAGGAAAAAAGAGCCTTCATTCTGTACATCCATTTCTGTAGGGACCGAAATGGATGTACAAATAAACTTAGGATTGGAATAATAAATAGCTCCTACTTACCTAATATTAACAATAGTATCAAAATCCTTACTGCAGCGAAGCAGGTACCCGAACGTCACGTCCTACACTTGCAGAGAGGGAACACCCAAAAACACACCGGGCAAGGCCAAACCAAGTGTATAGGAGTATCAGGAACACACTTTCACAATATATTATTGACAATATAATATTTTTCCCTCTGCTCATAAATCGGCCCGAACTAGCATTTCAACGTCTGCCATGAGTACAAACACCTACGTATACACGCTTCGGCTTGAAAATCTGTTTCTGTGCCTGGACAAATGAAATTCCTTTTGAAGCAATGAAAAACACATTTTTACCGAATAGTATTCACAATCATAATTTTTCCTTCTTCATAGGAAGTAGCCCGACAGATCCTTGCATCGACTGCATTGCAAGGAGCCGCCTATTAATACACGCTTTGGCTTGTAATTCCATTTCTCCAAATATATCTTTGGAAACAAGAACACACTTATAAAAAAAAGTATTCACAATATAATTTTTCTTTCTTTATAGGAAGTAGCCCGACCGATAATTGAATTGACTGAATTGCAGAAAGAAGCCTACTAATACTACACGCTTTTTTGGGGAACAATAACACACTCTTCCTGAATAGCATTGAGAATATCATAATTTTTCTTTCGCATACGAAGTAGCCTGGCTGATCATAGCAGCGACTGGGTTGCCAGGAGCCCTCTATTAATACTCTTCTTTACTAATACTTTGCTTTAAAATTGACGTAGATTTTTATACAAAACAGCATATGGTAACCTCAGTCCTATAAATCAAAGGAATAATTGTCCATCTTGAAAGTTTTTATACCAAAAATAATTGCAGAAGTGGAAGTGAAGAATTGGAAGTGAATGGAGAATTTTCTATTATATTTGAGTAATTGCTCAAGAACAAATAAAGTTGCAACCTTAATTTTTTCTAGGGATAAACCTTCAACATTGCTGATACTTTAGGTTTCATAACAGTGGTACGTAGCATAACTATATGAGATTTCACTCATAATAAAATGAAAAATTGCATTTTTTATTTATTATAAAAAAATAAAAATATACGTAAAACACCACCATAGTTCCCAAGTGCAGTCTAATATTCACCTTTGAGTTTCGACTGAAAATGTGTGTTAAAAAATCAGGAATTAACGCATAAAGTGCTTCAATTGCACTCGTTTTTTTTGTTGTTTATAGTAGAGTACAAAATTATTTATTTTGTTGTAGAATTACTACATATATAGTAGAAAAATACGGACTAGTTGATTTTGAGTTTCTGCGAAAGGGGAGGGCAATGGCGGACACGCCTGTTTTCAACCGCTCGCAATTTTTCGTGTTTGTACACTGTAATATCTCAGTTGAGGGACTAGATTAAATTTTGAAATTATTACATGTAAAAGTGCACTATGATGTTAATCTGAATTATTAATGTCAACTTTGAAATTTGACTTAAAATGTGTTTCAAAAATCGTGAAATGCTTCATTGGCATTCGTTTTTTCATTGTTTATAGTTGAGTACAATTTTTTTTATTTTGGTACCAAATTAGTACATAGTAGTTATTTTTAGGCTAGTTGATTTTGAATTTACGAGAAGTGGGGGTGCCCACTTGACGTCAAGCTAGCACCCCCACTTTTGGATGTTGTTTTTTTTATTGTTTATAGTTGAGTACCAATTTTTTTGTGATACAAAATTAGTACTTAATTAGAACAAACTTATAGGCTAGTTAATTTTGAATTTCAAACAAGTGGGGGTTGCAGCTTGACGGAGGTCTCTTCATTTACTGTTACCACCGTATATGGGTAGTGTCGACCGGGTCGAT